GATCAGCTGAGCCGAAGAGAGGTCATCCAGACAGAATGGTGCCTCAGCCAGTCAGCATTCAATCAGATATGTGCCAGGTGGGGCTCCCCCTCTACGGATCTCTTCGCCAACAGCCAGAATACAAAGCGGGAGAGGTACTTCTGCCTGCAGAAGGACTCCAAAAGCGCAGGGATAGATGCACTAGCCCAGCAGTGGGAAGGAGACCTCCTTTATGCCTTCCCTCCATTCAGACTACTGCCGAAGGTGGTACAGAAGATCCAGTTGTCTCAAGCCAAAGTTATTCTGATCGCGCCGTTCTGGCCCAAGAGATCATGGTTCTCCCGGTTGAAGGAGCTAAGTTTAGCAGACCCATGGATGATACCACCCACACGCGATTTACTCACCCAAGGGAGAGTGTTGCATTCTCATCCAGAAAGGCTGTCCTTAGCGGCATGGCTTCTGAGCGGGACAGGCTAGCGGAAAAGGGGCTGTCGGCAAGAGTGGTCGCCACCCTCTTGGATGGCAGGAAGAGGTCAACGAACGCCTTGTACGACAAAGTCTGGAAGAAGTTTTCCGCCTGGAAGGTCAGAAACGAGGCACCGGGCGCCCCCATTTTGCATACAGTTCTAGAATTCCTTCAAGCTGGGGCGGATAAGAATCTGGCCGCCAATACCCTCAAAGTACAGGTAGCGGCTCTGTCGAACTTTCTGGAGCTGAGGTTGGCGGCAGACCCATTAGTAATCAGATTCCTGAAGGCTATCTCCAGGCGCCGTGCCCCGTCCATGCCAAAATACCCCACATGGGACCTGGGCACAGTCCTGAAGAGCTTTCAGCAAGGGCCTTTCAAACCGCTGGATGAGTGTTCGCTCAGATCTTTGACTCTTAAAACCTTCCTCCTCACAGCATTAGTTTCTGCCCGCAGAGTCAGCGAGTTGCATGCCCTATCCGTGATTGAGCCGTACTGCACCATCTTATTGGATAGAATCATCCTCCGCACGGACGCGGCCTTTCTACCTAAGGTCGCGTCACATTTCCACAGATCTCAGGAAATAATAATACCTTCCCTTGAGGCCGATCCGGGGGCAGCACGGAGGACTATAGCAGGTTAGACGTTAGAAGATGTTTGATTACATACATCGAACGCACAAAGACATGGAGACACTCGTCCCGGCTTTTCGTCCTATTCCAGGGCCTAAGGAAGGGGGACGGTGCCTCCAAGGGCACCATCGCAAGATGGATCAGAGAGGCAATTTCGGAAGGTTACAAGAGCTGTCCTAGAAGATTCCTGGAAATACAGTTAACAGGTAAATAACTGCGTTCTTGCAACTTTGACATGTGTCAGTAAAACTTTACATATGATCACAACTGCTTTGTGAATCCAGGTGGATTATACGTTGTTTAATTCAGGACAAATTGGGCTTTCTTTTGGTGGTAAATAGTAATCAATATCTCCTGGGTTTTTTTATTGTCAAAGGAAAAACTGTCCCAAAATAGTTTTTTTTTTATCCTGCCTAAAACGCAATTCTACTCAAAATATGCTAACTGTGACCTTTGACCCTGACCTTAACTTGGCAAACCTTGATCTAGTTATTTTTTTCTTTAAATTTCTCTAAATTTTTTCTTTATTTTTAATTTATTTTTTTGTTTTTGTATATCTGCTTGTCCTGCAAGAAGAGAAAGATACAATGTATCTTTCCCTTCATTCAGAAAAGGAAGTAAACGCAGGGGCGGGCTCAGGGTGACTGATCACTGCACTGTGTTTGCCAATCAAAAGTTTATTACAGCGATCAGGTGACCCGGAAACAGGAGTCCCGTGGTGCAAGCCGGGTCTCTGTACTGGGGGCGTGCTGTGAAGGCGTATATGTGGCCCCACGGGAAAAGACCCATTTCTGTGAGGCCGCATGTATGCGAATGGTTGGGGGTTGGGGAAAGGGGTTAAATAATATGTAAACCCAAGATTTCATATTCCTGATATGTGCCTGTTGCACCATGTACTTATATGAAAAAGTATCCTGTTCTCTTTGTATTGCTTCCTTTGTGTGAAATCCCTGGTGTTCCTCTCAGTATCTGCTTTCCTATTAAAAATGGAGCACACTAAGCAGGAGGGCACAGTGTGGTCAGTTCTATAGCTGTGCTGGGAACTCAGCCTGCTCTCCTGCAATAATCAGACTTGTCCTGCCACTCCCTCCCTGCACAGCCTTTCACTGAGATCAGTGTGCTGCTGTTTCTCCTCGCCCAACTCTTATGCAACTGAGAACATAATAACAATATTTTTTTCTATACAAAAATGTTTTGCCTTTCATTTCTATTTTAAACTGACTGGGTTGTTTTACAAAGTGAAGGTTTACAATCACTTTAAGGTAAAAAATATCTAGCCTTTAGAACCACTTTAATTCTCCAATGGTTGGCAAGTCCTTATGTCATCGCCCTCAAACGTTACAGCCTCCAGCAAAATCTTTGACCTTCAATACTTTCAGGAGTGCTGAATGTCTGCAATCCTGTTGTTCTCTGTCTGCCCTACATCAATGCAAGACACAGTGGGGCTGATTTACTAAACCTGGAGCACTCAGAATCTGGTGCAGCTGTGCACGGTAGCCAATCAGCCTCTAACTTCAAACAATAAATGGTGAGCGCAAGACGAAAAAGAAAAAACGTAAAGCAGCTAGCACAACGTGGCAAACCCTCTGTCTCCACCAACACAAAACACTATAATATCAATGTGCAGCACTAATAAAAAACGTGTGTTATAATCAATGATGACCAGTGTGATAGTAAAAGAGAAAGGAAACATCATAAAAAAGAAATAGAGAATTGTGAATACTCCAATGAAGAAACAAAATGGATGGTATAACAAACAACAAATGAAAATATATTAGTCCTCTAAATATCATGATAGTCCCAAAAATAGTGATGCGATCAAATCAACAAAATGTAGTGACTTCTGTGACTTCCGTACTGCACCACCACCATAATGCACTCACCAGAAGTAAGTAGCAAGCAAGCCCAGAGCGGAATGACACTAAGCGGTGTTCCTGCTTGTTCCTCCTGCCGGTGACCCCGTTGAAGGTGGGATCTCTCCAGAAGCCAGTGATATACCAAAAGCACAATCTAAAGTAGAGTAGCCAAGTCTCTATCTTCAGCCCAAGGTGAACCAAGGAAAGGGATTCCTCCTAGAGGGCAAGCTCTTAGATTGAGCCCGGAGACAGTATCATATAGTGTAGTATGTTTTATTAAAAAGATAGCAACCACATGAAGCATAAAATCATCAATGGATAAAAAAAACACTTACAAAGATGGCCGCCGGACCATCACGTGGACGTGGCAGCATGATGTCAGTACGCAGGCTCCTCGCTGACGCGTTTCGTGCACACGCACATTCTCAAAGGGATCCACCTAGGTGAATCCCTTTGAGAACGTGCGTGCGCACGGAAGTCGGGACCTCGGTGGGTGACCAATGGCAGGGCAGGAACAGGTCAGGTGACGCGTTTCGAAGCACTTGCTTCTTCTTCAGATCGGATTGGCTGTCAGGTTCTCTGGTGTTTTATAGGCAGAAGACAGGAGGGGGCGGGATGATATCACTCTGACTGGCAGCTGGGGGAAAGTGTCAGCATCTAGGATCGGAGTACCAAATACCAAAAGAAAGCTCTATTTGTTGGGAAAAAAAGATTTCATTTATGTACAGCGTTGTACAATTGTCAGTTAAAATAACGCAGCGCTGTATAGCAAAACATGGCCTGGTCAGGAAGGGGGGTAAATCCTCTGGAGGACAAGGGGTCAAACAATCTATTTAGCGAGCACCAGGGGCGGACTGACTATTCGGAAACTTGGGCACTACCCGAGGGTCTGGGGTCAGTAGGGGGCCCCATGAGATGCCCCTGGTACCTTTTTCATAGGCTTTTTTGAGTTTGGGCAAGGACACAGGGGACCCATGATAGCCTATTGCCCGGGGGCCCCATGAGTTGTCAGTCCACCCCTGGCAAGAACATATGATTCAATTCAAAAACTTCATGTGCACCTTATAAGTATCAAAGGCAAGTTTGGGGTGCACTGTCATTGACTTAAATTGAGGCAAGCTGTGACAACTTCTGTCAAACATTTCTAATAAGATCAAAAACAACGCTAAGCAACACAAATGTATTATGACCTTTCTGTTTGTATTGGAAAGTTTGCTTTTATGTTACAGAACAGGCAATGGCTTTACAATGCATTTAGAAAGCTTCAATAACAGAAAATGCCTGTTCCTCACACTCGTGTAAATGAGACCTTAGGGAAACGAAGCAGAAGGAAATAAGTCTTTTTTTTTCTTTTCTTCAGCTGTTAGACATACATTTTCATCATGTTACATTTTAGCTTTGTGCACTAATGGCTCAGTATGAATACATACAGTTTATTTCATCTGTAGATGCACTTTATGAAAGATTTTATTTCTGTATTAATTTCATGCATCATTTGAAGTTCTGATGACAATCAGTGTTCACAGATTAGATACAAATGTAATCTTGTCTTTTCAAGTCTTCTCCCTTCATTCACTTTATCTATTCATAAAGTGAATGAGAGTGTTTCCAGCATTGGTTTTTATTGATGGTTACCAAATGTTATAAAGCCAATAACATAGCTATCATACACTGCACCAAATTTATCTTGAGATCTGTAGGGGTTGAGGAAGTACAGATATAATATTAGTATATATTTATGCATTATAATATAAAATGGTTTCTGATTTGTAAATAATTTGTATTATTATGCAGGACATAAAATATTATGGTTTATTAAAGTGTTACTAAACCCAGGACTCTGCACTTGCTATATCAGGTCTCCCACAATACACAAAACATGGAAATGCAATTATTTTAGTAAATATAAACTGCTAAATACCTTTTCTCATCAGCAGTATATATCAGTGTTGTGGCTTCTATCAGTGTCCAGCAGAGCACTGGTTAATGCTTGTAGGAGGAGTTCTCTAGGAGGATGTAGAACCCCTGACTTCTGTCTGGGCAGTGCTGATTGGCCGTGCTGATCGCATGCACTCTCCCAAGAAAAAATAAAACCTCTCTAGCATTACACACAAAGCTGAGCATGTGCAGAGTGACTCCACACGATATGTCTTATCAGGAGATAAGAGGGAGCCATTGGAAGAAGGGGAGGATTAGAGAAGACAGGATCAAACATCCTTTTTACACAATGCAGAGAATTAACTCCTTTGGTTCCACAGTGAGTATAAGAAGCATGCTTTACTGCATATACAGACTGATTTTACTGTTGTGGGTTTAGTAACACTTTAACTACGGAATGATAACCATAATTTATTTTTCTAATTGAACCCATTTAATCAGTTAACATTTGTATGTTTACAGTTAGATTGCACATTACTTGTCAGTCATTATACCATTTTTAAAAGAAGGTCCCTTCCACATAGGCGTACTCCGTCATGCGGATCCACCTACTCAGCATGGGATCTGTCCGCTGATCCCCACTGAGCAGGCAGATGACAGGTCTGCGTCAGCTCCACCGGTGCAGAGCGGACATGAACACAGCCTGCTGTTCTCTGTGGAGCGGTCAGATGTAAGCGGACTGCCGTTCCGTTTACATAGGACTGTCATCTGAATTGATCCACTAGATGGATGGGGAATGGATCCTCATCTGTCTGTTTTTGGCAGACTGGATCGGATGCAGACAGGTGTAAACAAACGCATGTCCATTTACATCCAGGTCCGCCTGAAAAATGGATAGGCAGACCCAATTGGTCCGCCCATGTGAAAAGGGCCTAGGCCACAAGGCTTATTTCAGATAATTGCAAAATGAGCAAATAGTGCGGCCAAACATTTGCAAGAGCGAATAGAATTCTGGTACATCATTAAAAGGATCACTAGCAGGAGAAAGGAGGTCCTGAATCTTATACTACTACTACTCCTGCTGAACTGGATGATATTTTGGCCTGCATGTACCGGACTTAAATCTTTTTGTGCACCTAACATTACCCTTCCCTCAGATTGCCAATGCTGGTGTCTACATTGCTTCTGTAGTGGAGTGAAGGCACCCTAAGGCTGGCCGTGCTTTATAAAATGGAAGATTTATCAATACCATATATTATAAAGTCTATCCTAAACACTTTCAATTTGTATGCAGTCAGGCAAGCCCTTGCACTACATAGTTGAAGGTAAAGCTAAAGGAAATTGAATAAGAAAATTGTATAATATGTGGGCAGATTGAGACAGGAATTATGTTAGTGGCCTAACCACCAGGTGAAAAGAACAGGAAAAAAGCCTTAAAAATGAATGAAATCGCCAGATTTAATGACTGCTAATCAGCAATATATCAATCGTTTATTCCTGGGATAAACACCGCTTAGTAAACAGGTTAAAGTAGAACTTAACTTCCAAAAGTGTCTTATCTCAGTTTTAACTCCCCCTCCAAGCAGAACTTAATTGAATGTTATTTATTAATTATTATATTATTTTGGCCCCGCCCTAGGTTGCCATAGCGATTTATGTTGATTTTTATAGCACTGATATAGAGTAAAATTTTCGTTACATTTGTGTTTTTTAGAATCTAGGCAAACCCTGTTGATATGTAAATGAACCCATTTAACTAACTTGTGAAACAAGGACAGAAAGAGATGTACAGGAAGGGAGGGGAGGTGAAAATAGGACTTTGGATAACCATGGGGCGAGAGACAAAGGAGCTGTAATTTTAATCCCCAAAAGGTTACCCTGGCCTTGCAAGCTACCCAAAACCTCTGACACCCTGAGTTCAGACATAATGCACACAGGAAACAGTTGCACGACGACACGTGAATGCAGTAATGTAGTATTTACTAAAAATTATTCTGTCAACAAACAGTAAATAACAGTTACTAATATACGTCTTAAGCGGAAAACACCTTGCTGGAAATCCAAAACTGTGACCAAAGGTGAACTTGGAAGAGATAATCACATTAATTCAAGCAGGGTTTCAAATATGGTCAGTAAGGGAGGCCTCTGACTTCAGGTAGAAAAGGGAAAAGGAAGGCTTTATGATGTAAGCTTGCTCCCTCAGAATCCTGAAGTAAACGCAGGAGCGGGCTCAGGGTGACTGATCACTGTGTTTGCCAATCAAAAGTTATTACAGCGATCAAGTGACCCGTGTTGCAAGCCCGGTCTCTGTACTGGGGGCATGCTGTGAAGTGTGCTCCCAGCACAAAAGAGAGCTAGGCGTATATGTGGCCCCACGGAAAAAGACCCATTTCTGTGAGCCGCATTTATGCAAACGGTTGGGGGTTGGGGAAAGGAGTTAAAGAGTATGTAAACCCAAGATTTCATATTCCTGATATGTGCCTGTTGCACCATGTACTTATATGAAAAAGTATCCTGTTCTCTTTGTATTGCTTCCTTTGTGTGAAATCCCTGGTGTTCCTGTCAGTATCTGCTTTCCTATTAAAAACTGAGCACACTAAGCAGGAGAGCACAGCGTGGTCAGTTCTCTATCTGTGCTGGGAACTCAGCCTGCTCTCCTGCAAAAATCAGACTTGTCCTGCCACTCCCTCCCTGCACAGCCTTTCACTGAGATCAGTGTTCTGCTGTTTCTCCTCCCCCAACTCTTACGCAACTGAGAACATAACAATTTTTTTTCTCTGTACAAAAATGTTTTGCCTTTCATTTGTATTTTAAACTGAATGGGTTGTTTTACAAAGTTAAGGTTTACAATCACTTTAATGTAAAAAATATGTTCCCTCAGAATCCTGAAGCCACAGATCCTGAAAACAGCATACTCTGTATATTAAACATTTAAGCTATGATAGAAAAAGCAGTTTTAAATAGAGTCCTCCTAGATCCTGGGATTGAGGAGTATCAAGGAAAGTCCTGGTGGAGAAGAGGTCCTGGGTCTTCAGCTAGCTCAATGAGGGCCCAAAGGATTGCTGTGCTATAATAAATATTTTATGAAGATGGTTTCAGGTGAACTTGTTAGCAGGTGTGAGGTATAAAAGGTGCCTGCATGCAGTGTCCCTTAGTGAACATTGTACACAGTGTGGGCTTCTGCCTGCTCACCAATCCTGACGACATCCCGGCTCATGGGTTCTGGGGTGTCCTGGAAGGCTCCCGCAGAATATGCTACCAGTGTGGGACTCTCGACCTAGCGCCTTGTGACACTGGGATTCCGCTGTGGATGAGACGGTGATGATGCTCACACCTGGCTCAGTAACATCTGCCAACAGGAAACTACAGATGGATGTTCTAATGGATGGTTGATAGTTCACACGCCAAAGACTCCATGGCCTGCTTAGCTCTCCACAGCAGCCAGGTCCGTGCTTGCAGCTTCAGCCTATAGTCCTAAGAGGAAGGGCATTCCTCTGGGTTTGGCTTATATATCCTCCCCAACAGGGGCGCACTGACCATTTGGAAACTTGGGCACTGCCCGAGGGCCCAGGGTCAGTAGGGGGCCCCATGAGATGCCCCTGGTACCTTTTTTATAGGCTTTTTTGAGTTTGGGCAAGGACACAGGGACCCCCATGATCCCCTATTGCCCGGGGGCCCCATGAGTTGTCAGTCCGCCCCTGCTCCCCAACATGCACTGCTCGTTCTCCAGACAGCTGGATCCTGTAGTTCCCAGCAGCATCGGTTCTTGGCAAGTCCCTCCTGTGGAACTATGTGTCCCACAATCCTCTTCTCTCTATGAGATCATCCTTTTTTCTCTGTGTCATTGAACACAATGTCACTATTACAGCTGGATACTAGAGGGGGGCATTAGCTCAAAACATTACAGATGTCTGCCGGAGGTACAGGTAAGTTGACTAGCACTGGGCTACATCTGGAATACAGATAACAGAGGAAAAAAAAACCATGGGGGATGGGGGAGTCTAGTACCACTTTAAGGTAAAAGATCTTTGCTTAGCCTTGTGTCTTCATCGTTTCTGCAGCATTTTTCCAGGATAAAATGTGATACTGTGCATTAATCTTCTGGCTAAATAACAAGCAACAGAAAATGTAATTTGGATCTCCTTTTGTAAAGTGACCAGATATTCTATAATTACACACTGAGCTAAAGCTGCACACTGACGATTGCTACGTGATGTATGGCCCAGTAGTATCATTTTTATTTGGTTGGTACACAGACTGTCCTAGTTTTATATATCTGTCCTAGAAAACTGCATATGTAATCTAATCTCTACCTCTGTCAGAATCCCATAAATGATATTAAACGCAAGTGGAGGATTTTGACTTACAGCTGTTCAACACTGTATTATAACAAACACCTACACAGCTCTCAGTAATTGTTTAAAAGGCTGTGCCTTCAGAGAACATAATTAAAGAGTATTGGAAATGTTTTCTGTTCTCTTCATTTAGCAGAACATGAGAGTGTATGATATGGGAAGGCAGCTGGCTTGTCAAAATTCAATCATGAGGCATCCAGTGCTGACAACTGTGAATGGAGATTATACAAGTGGAAGACAAGTGTGCTTTTAATATTGCAGGTGCACAATTTAGAATGAGGAGACAGAAATGATTTAGATTCAATACTTTCAGCTAATGCAAATAGCTAACAAATATGCCAGTTATCTTCACTAGGCATTCACAGACAGTATAACAAAGGTGACCACTGCCTTACAGTATCTGTCAACACGCTGCCCCTAAATCACCTTTCTAGGTGAGTACCATAACTCTATATATAGTATGCTTTCCAAAAATATAAGTTTTTACCTTTTATATCTTTTTATTTATTTATTCTTTTAATCTATCGATCACATGATCGCACAGCCTCCTCCTCTGTGTTCTATCATTGGGCTGAGAGTGGTGTGTCAGTGTTGGAAGGTGGTGTTGCATTCCAGACAGGGAATTTCTTTCCCTGTATGTGTATGTTCTGCTCCAGAAGCTGTCAATCAATGGCAATGGTCATGTCTATAAACTCACTGCAAAGATACAGGCACACAGTACATAGGCATGTCTGTAGGGAAACTGAGCATGCTAGCATGGATCTGCTTCCTTGCTTAGTGTGGTCAGTTTAGAAAAGTAAATGTTAGATTTGCAAAATGAAAGCTTTGTTGCAGATGTGTTACTGGAAATTTTCTTTAATTCTGTTGCAGTCTTCTTTCTGTTGCTGTATCTTGCACTTAGTTGCTGTAGCTGCAATGACTGGGAAACTGGACCCATAACCTGTTAGAAATTCTGAATATAGCCCTGCAGGACAGACAGTATACAATCCACATGTGCTTTTTTACTTTCACTGCAACAAGGAAACAGGAAATTTCAGAGAAAAGACAGAGTATACAGTACCATAGATACAAACTTATAAACTCCTAGATTGTAAGCTCCAAGGAGCAGGGCACTCCTAACCAGGGGCGGACTGACCATTCAAGCACTCGGGCACTGCCCGAGGGCCCGAGGTCAGTAGGGGGCCCAATGAGATGCCCCTGGTACCTTTCATTGGCTTTTTCATAGGCTTTTTTGGGTGTGGGGCCATGATCCCCTATGGCCTGGGGGCCCCATGACTTGTCAGTCTGCCCTGCTCCTAACCCTCTTGTATTGAACTGTATTGTTGCTGTATTGTCTCCTGTTATATTGTAAAGCGCTGAGCAAACTGTTGGCGCTATATAAATCCTGTATAATAATAATAATAAACACTGCCATGTATTGATTGAAGAATATATCTCTACTGAATATGGATGTCATTGTTGCACAAAATACATAAACATTGTATTTCAACAGTAAATGAAAGCAAATGGCATAATCACCAACTATTTATGTCCAAAAACATACATTGAGACACAAATGGTTATTGTTTTGGGACACTAGCATACCTTACTAGACACATTTAAACTAGAACTAAAAGCAAAATTGTTTTGTTTTTTAGTGAAGATGGATTATAACTTCTATTAGATTTTTATCGCAGTCTGTGTCCCCGTTAGGGAGATTCACCCTCTCTATTTGTCTTGTTTACCATTATTATAAAAGTGGAAATAAAAGAAACCCCTAATTTTGGGTTGTCCCAAGAAAAGTAATAGCTGGGAAATTTTCCAATGGTGACACTAGTTCTGGTGACCTATGGGTCCCCAAGGAATTAACTTATTTTAGTTTTTTTTTGCCAAAGTGCTTCTGCCAGGAGGAAAGAGGTTTAGGAAAGCTGAGCAAACACTTCAGGTACATGAGGCCTTAAATGACAACACAGGTCTGTGTAAACAGATACATTCTGCAATTAGCATATTAAAAAAAATAACATAAAAGGATTATATTATAAGAGCAATGAACTGCCTTTGCTCACTTGTTTTTGTAGATGCATGTTTAGGGTCTGCTACCATTATCCTTTCTCCTCTATTAGGTCACTGAACTAGTAGAAGGATGTATATCTCAGTTTTGGGGATACTGGCATGCACATGTTTGTTTCAAGTCAGTGATTGATTAGGCGGCAACACAAGGATCACCATATCTGCTCTTGGGCATATACCATCAAAATGGTAGCTTCCATATTTCTATCTTGACAAATCCCCTTTAAATTGTATGCTACCCGAAAAAAAAAAATTTCTATGTGCATTCACATGTGTATTTTATAAATCATAGCCTTTATCATTTTCATGTACTTCTTTCATCTGAAGTACCTTGTTGATGCTGCCAGACATATGTTTCCTTGTTCAAAACTGACCCACACAAAGCACAGAAGCTGATCTGTTCTTAGTGGTCAGTTTTTATCCTTTGGCTGGCCATTCAGAGGTACAGGACACTGTGCAGGCACACAGCATGCCTGTATTGCGTAGTCTGCCAGCACACCCTCCAACCAATCACAGCCTGCCATTGGCACACACCCCTTCCTTTCACAGCCTGCTTTTTGAACACCCCCCTGTTTAAAGCAAAGCTGCACCCAAAGGAGAAGTTCCGCTTTTTAAGCCTTTGTCCCCCATTCCCCATTGAGGATTGGAACCTTTGGGGAGCGGGTACCCGAGTTTAACAGGTACCCGCTCCCAGTTCCGCTGCGTTCGCCTAGGCGATCGGAAGCAGAAGTTGTTCTCCCCCCTCCTTCCATGTAGTCTTCTGGGACACGTGACAGGTCCCACTTCGAGGCCATTCACAAAGCGTAGCGTTTCTCGCGCATGTGCAGTGGGCACCCGGCTGTGAAACCGCAAGCTGTCACAGTCGGATGTCGACGCAAGGGAGAGAAGATGGCCGGTGAAACCAGTGGTGTTGAAGAAACCAATGGACCAAGGGACAGGTAAGTAGCTGTATTTTAAAAATCAGCAGCAACAGTTTTCATAGCTGGTGACCTTTTTTTTTTTAGGTGGAACTTCGCTTTAAGCACAGTCTACATCTTGTGTCAGGCTATGGAATACAGGTACAGTGTGTGTCCGCACAGTGTCCTGTAACCCTGCCCCCCACTATCAAGAGAAGAGACGTCGCATGACAGAGCTTTTTCCTTGTTCAATAGTTTTTATTAAAACAGTAAAAGATATGGTTTCTGGTATACAAAAAGATGGTAGTATGAGATCTTGGAGTACATAGACAATTTGTAGGTAAGCATAATCATTGACATTGATCAGTTATAGAAGAAAAATATAGACTAACTATTATACCAAACCATAATTTAACACCAAGACAGTAATACAGAAAAGGCAAAATAAAAAGGAGTGGTCACAAAACCACAGGCTAATAATGCACATTAGGCAATGTTCCCTATTTAGCAATAATGGTCCAAAGAGGGGGTGCATTTCCTTAACGTGGGGCACAGACAACAATAAAAACGGACAGGTGTTCCAATCCCTCTCCACTCTAAATCTGAAAAATAAAGATTTGCCTTTAGTTATACTTTAAAGCAAACATGTGCTATGTTCATGCAAGGTAAAGCAACAGGTTCAATTTACTGTCCCCCTTCCACAGTTGCACATACAACTCCTTTTTCCTCCAGGGCATTGTGTTCTGTGTACATATATAGGGCTTTTTTCAGGGGGAATGCACTGAATGTATGTAAGGGCAAGGGATGCTGGAGGGTCTATTTATGCTGACTGCTGGAGGATCTATTGTCATGGGGATGGGGGATCTATTTTTTAGGGAGGTTTATTGTTCATGGTGGGGGCTCTGTTGTTGCTGGGGTGTCTTATGTTGCTGGGAGGGGTCTATTATTGCTGGCTGCTGGAGACTATATTGATGCTGATTGTTAGGAACTCTATTGTTGCTGGTAGGGTCTATTAATACTGGGGTGTATTTTGTTGCAGTTGGGTCTATTGTTATTGAGGGATCTATTGTTTCTGGGAGTCTATTGTTGCTGGGGGGGGTCTATTGTTGCTTTCTGCAAGGGCTCTATTTTATGGCTTTTCTTGTTATCATTAACCAATTCCATAAAAAAATTACTTTGCACACAAAATAATACTTGGTTCTGTATTCTCTAAAAGGGGCGGTACAGGATGGTGGGTAGGGGGTGGAGACAAGGGGTGACCAGGAAGGTGGGAGTACTGGCACCTATTCACTGAAAAAAAGCTATATACTGTATATATATATATATATATATATATATATATATTATATGCAAAATATAATAAAATGCCTGTAGTCTCCCTTTAAGGAAGAGAAGTTACTCTAGCATGTTATCACAGGTGAACTAGGTCATACCAGAATGTTCAGCATATATAATATGTACATATATGAGACAAATGTGTTTTCTCATTGTATTATTGGTATTGTCCTCAGTCTTTTTACGGAGCGTGTGGCTTCCAGTTGTCCCCCTATCCTTCTTCCATGTGCTTCCGCACACCCACACCATACAAGACTGATCCATCTTAATAAAGAAGGATCAGCAGTATCAGCAGAATTATTCATAACTCAGATCATTTGCTGTATCCCGCTGCTTCTCTGGGCATGTAGATCAGTTAACAATCTCAGAGCTGCATGAAACCACTATTAAGCTCTCTCTTAATAACATTACAGACATTCTTTTTATTTTCTGCATCTGTCACTATGTCAGGTGGTCAGAATTATCATATCTGGTAACTAGAGTGCAATGATTTATGAATGGTACGTAGATAACACATCTATAATTTATAAGGCCATTTTAATATACAGTTTAATATATCTTCCTTTGCTCACTAGTTACTCATTTACTTTTCCCCATGAGAATCAATGTAGAAAAATGCTCTATTGATGAGGAATAAAAAGAACATTATGGGTCTGTTTCTCTACTAAATCCATAAAACTAAGAAGAAACTAACAAAAATCTCCCATTGCACTTTTGCAGGATTAAAACAACATATTCTAACATTGTGATTGACATCTGAGCAAATATTGATTAGGTATTGGAGTAGTTTGCACCCCACTGTGATTAACAACAATAAACTCTTAGGTCCCCCTCACATCTTCACATTGCAGTGTGGTGCATTGTGGTGCCATTTATTTTGAAACCTATCCCAACATACTATTACACTAGTGTGCAACACATACGACTGCAGCGCAACACACCACACATGGCATGTGTGTCATATCTGTTTTTTTGTACATGAGTTTCCAGCCCGTTCAACATGAGTGGGCTGTCTGAATGCATCCATGCATCCATTCATAATACATGAACAGTCTTAATGCAACAGGCAATAACGTGTGCCATAATGTACAATAAAGCATGTGCATTAACGCATCACAATTAACAGCTTGAGTGTGAATCAGCCCTAATGAGAAAGTATACTGCAGTCCACTGGCCCTCTGTATGAGGCCCTCTAGCTACTGGGCATCAGTTGGTCAACAGAGCAGCAGCGGGGTGTTGGGTGCTGTAATGCTTTCTGAGTTACAGCATTTGGCACTGAAAAAAAAAGGATTGTTCTGAGAGTTATCTCTGCCCACATTACAAGTAAAGCCCTGTCCCAGAGAGAGAGAGAGAGCAGCACAGAAGCGTGTAATCAGCTAATAACCTCCAATGCAGTGGAGAGATAAAAGAGAAGTATGGTTAAAGCTTTTTTGGCCATAGATCTCTTGTGGGTCGCTTACTTTTGCTTTCATGTGACCCAGAATAGTCGGTCCAGGTTGTGGAAGGATCCTGACAATAGTGTCAGTTTCCACCCAGATGCCTGATTTGCAGCTGGCACAGCCTCTCAACTTAGTGGCAACATTATCACCTAGTAATGTAGGAACAATGTAACAAAGGAGTGACAGTTCTGTGGCTGCTGAGACTGCCCCAGTCAAATCAGACATGGCAGTGCTCAGCAGTGGTCTGCAGCCTAATTAATATTAGCTTCAAGAGGACTTCAGTTGGATAATTACATAAAGTAGATTTACATATACATATAATGCTTGAAAATATTTTTGTTTTTTAATGAAGGTGCTGGAAACAGGGTCTCTTTGAAGGTACCCATACATAGATACAAAGAATTTAGATCAGCGTTTCTCAAACTTTTCAACACAGTGGAACTCTTGAACTTCCAGGGGGGGGG